AAGCATGAAGTGGTTATTTTTAAGCTAAAATTGCGTTTTTATTTATTTTTTTCTCTTACCTTTGTCAATTGCTATATATTCAGCCTCTGGATACTTTTGTTTTTTCTTGAAAAACATGAAAATATGTGTTGTGGCAGCAGAAACAGTTGTATTGGTCTCTGATTTGGAGCATGACAACTTCTATGCATTTTTGTAACAAGATATCTTGTATAGACTTCTGCATTTGGAATGCATCTCTGTGGGTGGGGCGGAGAGAAGCATTAGTAACTTAGACATTGAAGATTCTGCCTCCGAGAGTGCAAACTGTGTTGCATTGTTTCTACAAAGAAATTTTCTGGATCCTTATTTGTTATTCGATGAAGAATATATGATGCAAATTTGTGATTTTCTTTTTTAAATCTTCATGGGTCTTTTGTTCTTTAGGGGCTGAATCTTTAGTTGTTTTGTTCGGCAAAGTTGATTCATGATTAAAGACTGGATTTTTTAGCTATGAAAACGTGTTTTTTGTGTGACAAACTTTGTTTATGGTATATTCTGTGAGGATATATATTATTAAAGCAATGTCTCTCATCCTTCTTTTGCTCGTTGAGTTATGAAGGCAATAATAGTATGAGTGCTTGTGTTTGGTAATAGCTTTTTACTCTACGTATTTCAGTTGGTTTGAGTGCTGACCTTTTACCTTCTCTCTATAGCTTCCGACTATGGCTATTGAAAAGGTTCTCGTTGCAAATAACACCTCTGTGATTCAAGATGAGGTGCTTGCCCATAGACTGGGTCTTATTCCACTTAAAGTCGATCCAAGGCTCTTCAATTATAAGTCAGGTTTTACACGTTCCCACTTCTTCATTAAGTTTGTCATTTAAACTCTTCCTTTTTTACTTTTCATGAGGTTTTTCTGATGCTGAAGTTTGTTCCTGCTTCAGAAACTGATGAACCGAATGAGAAGAATACCATTGTCTTTAAACTTCATGTACGTTGTGAAAAAAAGAGCCCACGTATTAAAGGTACCATTTCGGTCTTTAATCATATGATTTTTTGTTGGTTTTGAGTTATGGTATTTGCGTGTAGTTGTTTTTAATGTCGTCAATATCAATAAATGCGATGATGTTTGATTCTTCTATGAAAACAAAATAATGCAGTGACGACTAATGACCTGGAGTGGCTACCAAATGGCAGTGAGTTCGTATTAAGTACACAGAACCCAACTCCAGATTCAAATACAAAGACACAAACCTATACTTCATTCAATTGTAGCCAGGTGTCCTTTCCAGAATTTGTGAACAACCCAATTGGCCCCAAAGATAAAGATATACTTATAGCTAAGCTTGGAGCTGGACAGGTATGGTTAATGTGGAATGCTTTGTACTCTTTTGATACTTAAACTCAGAACAGGACTCATACAGTATTGTTCTTTTAGATCAGTCTTAATAGTAAATTGCACAGCCCTAAATCTTTTGGCTTTGTTGTACAATCTAGTAACCTGTGTGTGTGTGTGTTTTTTTTTCTTGGTTACTAAATGATACGCTTTCACGAGAAGAGCCGTGTAATGAACTGTAAAATACAATTGAAAACATCTTGCATAACTACTGCAACAGTGTTGCTGGTATAATTTTGATGATGTTCTGTATTAGTTAGCGTACTTTTTTATTCTTTGTCAAGAGTTGCTAAAAAATCTGTAAAAATAAATCAATTTTATGTTGTTTATGAAATTGTACTGCTATTTGTGCAGGAAATTGAGCTGGAAGCGCATGCTGTGAAAGGAATTGGTAAGACTCATGCAAAGTGGTCACCTGTTGCCACTGCTTGGTATAGGATGCTTCCTGAGGTATAACATATGTTATTATCTCTGTTCTCCGTTTTTAGTCCCGTTACATTTTACTCTCTGAAACCCATTCAATGTTGTATAAAATTCGTTATCAAGTTATGTGAACTTGTAATACAATACAGTGAGAGCCATTGTAAGCAACCGAAAATTGTGATTTTATCGTTTATAGGTTGTCCTATTGCAAGAAATTGAAGATGAAATGGCTGAAGAACTCGTGAGGAAATGTCCTGTTGGAGTTTTTGATATTGAAGATGTTGGTAATGGTAAGATAAATGAAAAAGATAGACTTGGTTACCATCTACCCTTGAAAATTCTCTTTTCCATTTCTTAAGAGTTCTTATACTATATATTTGGAAAAATGGTGTAAAACAACAAATAGTTAGAAAGAAAATTCCAACATAAAACAACACTAGATTTTCAACGGAGGGAGTGGCTGATATGGACAATTAAAATTCTACTTTACCAACATCAATAATTGATATTCTGTTAAACCGCGCGGAAAAAACTGGTATCTTTGTGGGATGGGGGATGTACATATTAAATATTTTTCTATCAGCAGTACGTGTATGAGTTAAAGATCCTCTGGATTGTTTTTTTTATTAGTTCGTGACACCGTTCAATAGGTCAGAGAAAAGCAACTGTAGCAAGACCTCGATCGTGTACTCTATGTCGTGAATGCATAAGAGGAGATGGTTGGGATAAGCTTGTGGCACTCAGGCGCGTGAAAGATCATTTCATTTGTAAGTTCAAGCCTCTATTTTAAATTTTTCGTAAAGATTTATTTTCTTTTTTACCCTTGCAGTAACCCGGACTTGAATTTAGTGGCTCACTCTTGCTTGATTAAAGTGGTCCTTATCTTAAAAACACTATATTGCTCGTATGATTGGCAATAGCGAGTGGTGCAGAATCTGCTATTTACCACTACTAATGAATTAAGTGTTTGCTTTTAGAGGTTTTAAGTTTGTTTTAAGATGTTTTGAGGGAAAATCGTAAAGTAATCCATTTTTTGTCTACGATTTTTCTGTACCTTATCTACCCCAACTTGCTTGGGACTAAAAGGCTATGATGTTGTTGTGTTGTGTTGATTTTTCTGTACCTTAAATCAGGAATTTTTGAAAAAAAATGAACACTTAAATGTAGGAGAAAAAAATTGTTCCAAATAAGAAGAATCTCGAGTACATGTCTAGATTTTCTGGTATTTCCTCAGTGGTCAAAATGTGTATATTGTTAGACGTGGAAAATGTTGATGAAGGTAGAAAATATAGATTGGTATTTTGTTTGGGTAATATCTAGCCATAATGATCATCCTTCTTTTCCCTAATTATTGAGAAGGTTTTGTCTGTACAAGCTTTATTAGTTGCTTGTTGTCCTAATTTATCAGTTACAATTGAATCTACGGGTGCATTACCTCCTGAAGTACTATTCACTGAAGCCGTGAAGATTTTGGAAGATAAGTGTGAACGTGTGATGACTCAGCTTTCTTGAGTTTCTCCCAAGGAGGAAATTTGTGAAGCAAGGGCATTGCTTGCTTTGTTATGTTGCATAATAGTTATTTTGTCCTTGAAGAATTCAGAAAATTGATGTCTTGTTATCGTGTATTTTGCCGTGAAACTCCTCTCTGTGTGCTGAAATTACAGCCATATTTAAAGTCCTCGACAGGAATTTTGACAAGGGGTTTCTTATCAAAAGAGACGCGACGTGATGATGATGATGATGATGACGACTTTAAACATGTAGGCCAAAATATGAATTTACATTAGTCATATATAAAATTAATTGCATTTGTAGATTTGTTAGTCACTTTGATATTTCATTCTGGTCTTGGTACTTGTTGCTTGAAACACGCACAACTGGATTCAGTCAAGGAAACTTTGACTACTTTTGTTTTCATTCTAAACCCATCATGCACACAATTTTTTGATTTATGGACAAGGAAAAAGAAAGAGTATGGCGCAGATAAAAATGAAAGAACAAAACAACCAAGGAAGAATCACTTGCGAGGTATTATATTAACCCAGAATTAACTTTTAAGCAATGTTTCAAGCAATATTAACCCAGTATTAATTTTAAGTCATATGTTTTTTTATCCAATTTTTTAAATTATAATATTCTAATTTAAAAGTATATATCCGCTAAAATATAATTGTCTAAACCAGTTACAAACTTATGTCAAACTTATGCTAGTTTTTTTTAAAAAATAAAATAAAATAAATCGANGGACACTACTAGTGCCAGAACAAAGCCTGGATCAACCCTGCATTGAAATTATATTGGCAAACTGGGGGTACAAGCACCCTTAACCAAAAAATACTCCATAAATGAGACAAAACATCTCCATAAAAGAAACTTTTAAGCCAGACGCAACTGGACTGACAACAAAAAACTAGAAGAAAAACAAAAAACAAAATCAACAAACCTAAACAATCCACTAAAGCCCTCCTCATTGTCGTCTAACAACTCTCAACCTCCCCTGAAGACAATCCCAAGAACAATAGGAACAAAGCCCAGACTCGGATCAAGAAACTCCAAACTCCCATAATTAATAAGCTATGGCTAACTCAACAAGAATCAACAAAGCCAAAACCTACTTCCATCTAGACCAAGAAAACAGCTCCGAGGCCCAGTGGCAGCGGCAAAGAGGCCGAATAGGCTAGTTAACTACTGGATCAAGGGGAAAACGAGTATTTGGGCGAGGGAGCACAAAGGAGAGAGATCTTAAGCGAAGATGCGAAGGAGGGGGGAGAGCTAGCTACAGTGAAAAATCGCCAAACTTGGGCGAGAGAGAAGAAATTATAAAATAATTAAGATCAATAAGGCGAATGAGTTTCGTATGAGAGAATAAGAGAAAGGGGTAAACAATAATATGATTCGGGGAAAATAACACATCTGATATGGATACGAAGAGGAGAAGTGCAATAAATGTACGGGACAATATGAACCAGACGATATCATGAACTTGTAAAATTAACTAAATATTACACTGATTGCTATTTATGACTACCACAACACCAAACGGGATGTGTGACGAATATGACACAGAATTGCAACCTTGAAATTATATTATACCTCACTCTCCTGTCCCTTGAACAAATGCTTATATATGATACAACGTCTGAATAACACAAAATGAAGAGCATGAGAGAAAAAAAATAGGCCCATCAGCACTGGAGTCAGATGACTATGCAGCAATATACCTTCAATATATGTACAAAGCTAGAGACAATAATGTACAAACCCTTT